TTAATAAATAAAAAATAAACACATGTAAAATAAAATAAAATAAAATAAATTAATTGGAACACATTATTTAAAAAATATAGCAAATAAATAAAATAATTAATGTATATTAAAATAAAAATATTTATAAAAAAATTAAAAAATTTGCCGTGTTTCCTACCATGTTCGTGTCCCCATCTGTTAGAAATTGTCGTGTCCCGTGTCCGTGTCTGTGTCTGTATGTGTGTCCGTGTCCGTATCCGTATCCGTATCCGTGCTTCATAAATATTTATTTGTTATTTATATAATATAACTCATCATCATATAATAAATTTTTTTTTTTTTTAAAAAACTATTTAACGTATCCCCATACCTATATCCAAATTTGGATACATATCCACGTATCCTTAATTTTTAATTTTGAAGTGTCCGACGCCGAGATACGCACCCCGCACCCGCACTCGATACCCGTACCCGAGTCCATGTAACATCGCCCGGTGAAGGGCGCATATACACATCTTCAGCAAGATGCCCATTTAGAAAAGCATTTTTGACATCTAATTGAAACAAAGGCCAATGATGAGCAACAACAAGAGTGCGAACAGTAGTCATCTTGGCAACGGGGGCAAAAGTCTCATCGTAATCAATCCCATACTCTTAAGAAAAGCCATGGCCAACCAAACGAGTTTTGTACCGTTCCAAAGAACCATCAGAAAGGGTTTTAACCTTATAGATCCATTTACAGCCTACAACATTCTTGCCAGCAGGTAATGGAACCAAATCCCAAGTCTGAGTATTAGCCAAAACAGTAACTCGTCATTCATGGCAGCAATCCAATTGGGATCATGACAAACTTCCTTGTAGGACCTAGGCTCAAAATAAGTATAAAGACAAGAAAGAAAAGACTGATAGGAAAGGGAAAAACATGTATTACCAAAACCATACTATTTCGGAAGATGACAATCTCGCTTTGGAAAGCGATGTGCAGGAGGAGCAGGATCCAAAGAAATAGCTGGAGGGACAGTAGAGCTAGAGACAGGCGAGCTCGGAAGTGCTTTGTGGCACTAATAAACAAGAAGAGAAGCAGGAGTTGGAGAGGGAGCGGGGGAGAGAGTAGTTGGCGAGATATCAGAAGTGCTAGTAAGAGGCAAGGTAGAGACCTCAAGATTAGAAACAAACTCATCAGGAGAAATATCAAGAGGAAATGGGTCAATGTGAACCAATTCATCCTTGGTAATAAAGACAGGGGTGGAAGGTATAGTGTAGTAGGGTAGTCTTTCTAAAAAGGTGACATGCCTAGACACATATAGCTTTTTGGTGGCAGAATCATAGCACCGATAACCTTTCTGATTAATGCCATACCCTAAAAAGACACATAGGACACAACGAGAACTAAGCTTAGAGCGCTCTCGTTTAGGAAGAAGCACAAAGCATGCAAAATCGAAAACACGAAGAAGAGAATAATTGGGAGTAACACCAAAAAGACACTCATACGGAGATGAGCCTGACAGAAGAGGAGTAGGCATCCGATTGAGAAGATATGTAGCAGTGAGCACAGCTTCTCCCCAGAAAATAGAAGGGACAAAAGACGAGAGCAACAAAGAGCGACTTGTAACAAGGAGATGGCGATGTTTGCGGTCAGCTCGACCATTTTGGGCAGGAGTGTCAGAGCACGAAGACTGATGAATAGTGCTATGAGTAGCTAGAAACTCCTCAAACTCAAACAAGTAATACTCACCCCCCAAATCAGAACGGAGAACTTTAATGGAGGTGGAAAACTGACTGCGAATCATGGAGTGAAAATTAGAATATATTTTGTAAAAATCAAATTTTCGAGTCATCAAATAAACCTAGGTAAACTGACTGTAATCATCCACAAAAGACACATAATATCGCGAACCACCCTTGGTAACTATAGGGGAAGGACCCCAAACATAAGTATGAATCAATTGAAAAGGAGAAGATGAAATAGAACTACTTTATTAAAAGGAAGAGCAGACATTTTAGCCAATTTACAACCACAACACTTAAAAATATCCTCAATAGGAAAATTGCCTAAATGTCCAGATCGAACTAACATCCTCAAACGATCACTCGACAGATGACCTAACCTAGAACGCCAAATATAAAACAAAGAAGACTTATTGTTTAAACAAAAAGAAGACAATGCAGTAGAAGACACTTCTGGAACATGTAAGCTGTCCAAGATATATAGTTCTCCAACTCTACGCCCAATCCCAATCTGCCTCTTGGATACCCGATCCTGCACAATACAATGAGAAGAAGAGAAAACAACATCAAAACCGGAATCAGATAATTAACTAATAGCAATAAGATTTAAGTGAGAGGTGAGGCACATAAAATACAGGAGAAAGAGAAAAATGGGAAGAGAAAATAGAACCAATAGATTGTACAGGCAGAGAAGAACCATTAGCGGTAGCAATAGTGATAGAAGAAGAAGGAGAGACACAATTACTAAGGAGAGATGCAACAGGGGTCATATGATGTGAACAACCGGAATCAAAAATCTATGAAGTGTGGATATTATCTGAAGAGCATGAACCAGACAAACCTAACTGAGTGGTAGTCATAGCGAAGGCCTAGGACGAAAGATTTGGATTGGCCACCATGAAAGCCTTAAACTGCTCAAACATAGACTGCATATTGGAAGATGGACCATTCTCACAAACTGGTGCAGAAAAGGCGACAGATGAGCGAAATCCCGAAGATGTCAGCTTAGAGGATGGTGGACCAGATGAACGACCCTTGGGCTACAAAAGTTTCGGACAAGCATGTTTCCAATGGCCTTTTTGACAACAAAAGCTACACTCATCCATGGAAACCCAAGGCTTGGGCTTACCAGTAACCTCAAATAAAGGAGAAAGAAGGGTGGGCAAGAGCGGAGGAGTGGCAAAAACTAACTGGGAAGCAGGAGCACCATGAGCCACCTTAAACCAAGTTTCTTCTGCAATAAGCTCACGGACAGCACCATCCACAGAAGGCAAAGGAGACCGATGAAGAATAGCTCCCGGAAGTGGCTCAAATTGATCACGAAGAGCCATAAGATATTGAACAAGACGTTGCTTCTCCCGATACTTGGTATAATTGTCAAGTAACTGCAAATCAGTCGAAGTCGACACCAGAAATCGCAGTCGATTTCTGAGTCTGAAGCAAGAATGAGCGTCAAGGTCAGACCTTACGCTAATCGTGTGCACTAGAGGGCAAGACAGAGAGAGAGTCGCACAGAGGGATCGATCGAACCAACCTAGAGACCAGAACCAGCAGATGCCCTTCGACGAACAGGACAGAGGACCTAGCGAAGGCCTTGTGAAGAGAGAGAAAGGGGCTACGATGGTCGATGATGACCTACGAAAGGTATGCTAGTGTCTGAAACTTGGCTCTGATACCATGATAATAGAGAAGAAACTTGTATATTGATTACATTGATCAATCGAAAGCTAAGTACAAATATATAATCTAATAGGATAAAACCCTAATAACCTAAAGGACTAAACTATCCTTAATCAATAATATAAAATACTACAACAATAATTCACAAATACTTCAGTCTAGTTAGGCCTTTGGTAGTTAAGTCCTACTAGTTGGCCACGTCCCTGTGTAGGACCATATTCAATTAACGAAGTAAAAGCAAAAAACATTAAATAAATAAATAAATAACACTTTGGTTAAGGTTATAAATTCTCATGTTTTTCTCCTTAAATGTAAATGATTATGCTGCATCAAGCAGTCCCAAACAAAAACTGTCTGTGATACTAAAAGTAATAACCGTCAATTAAGATGGATACAACCTCAAACCAGTCAACATGAATTCACCAGTCAATGGAGAACATGGTTTTATCATAAATAAGCTATCATCTCAAATTGCAAGAATAAGCATTAGATTCTCAATGGTGTAAACGGTACTACAAAATTTCTGCATCCTCGTGATCATGAGAGTTAAAGAACCATGCATATAAACTCTGACTTTCATTAGCCATATTTACAAATAAGGACCTTAACCTTGTAATCATTGCCAATGAAACCTTTTGATCAATATTATTATTCAATAAAGAGATTACTCTCTCCTTGCAGATTTCACAAGGGAAGCATGTGCATTCTAGGGTATAACTCAAGTTGAACAAGTTGGTTGGCCAAGGTTGAATTCTAGGATTCATTATTTTTCCTTTTTGTGATAGTAGATAGAGAAAGAAGAATCCCACCATGCTACCTATGCTAAGGTTCCAAAGGGAATTGAATTGAAGAACTACATTCAAGTTTCTTTTAGTTCATCGAGATTTCTAGAAACCCATCAATATCTAAGTGTTCTTGAAAGTTACAATTCAGATTTCAAAGTAATAAAGTACAAGCTTTTGAGTTCTTATTCAAAATTGAACCGTCGTGTAATTTGGATTGCAAGTTGCAACCGGAGCTGCAAAGGTATAATTGATCACATTATTCAACTAGAATATTATGAACACATGAGTATAATGATCTGGATTTTGTAAAAATTTATTTGATTCCGAATGTTTCAAACCAAAAATAGTATGCAAACAAACTTTAATACCCGTATAGAGGACATAAGCACCTTATCTTTGATATTTTACCCAAAAAAAAAACCATGCTTCACCAACATGCCTTTTCCAACCATAATCTATAGTACTTATACACAACTATTAAGATGTAGAATACATGACAGAATGACAGTTATATGCTCTTTCTTTCCCCATTTACTGCACACATGCACACTAGCAACTTATCTATCCAAGGATAACAACACTCATTCAAACAAAAAAAGAACAACAACACTTGAAGACATTGACAAATGTGGAATCATTTGAGGTCCCACCAAGTGTTATCACATTAAATTAGTTCTCTCTCTCCCTCTCTCTCTCAGCAGTTCACTGGACTAGGTAATAGAAGGTATTCTTCTAGTAGATAATACATAAACTAGCCACTAAAAAAAGGCAATTGCTCAAAAACTCACCTGATGCATGCTAAAAAAAGGCAATTTCTCAAAAACTCACCTGATGCATGCTCTGGACGGCAAAACTCCCAACCACCTCTAATGCACAAGGCAGTGTGTGCAGGATAACGCTTTGCATATGCCAACTCCTCTCGAGAAAGATCTATAACCATTTTCAGTTTTATACATTAGAGACTTAGAAACAATTTTCATAAAGAGAAAAAAAAAAGTTTTTAGGACAATATAATGAAGAGATTAGCTCACCATACCAAATTTCGAAAAGAAAAGAAAGAAATAAAATTAAGGAAGACAAAAAGGTTTTGGGGAACAGATGAATAAAGTAAAAAAGAGCAAACATTGACACCAAATCCAGGATTTTAGAAAATTTCAGTACCTCGATCATTGAATTTTTTCAAAGTTGGGCCAACAAGCAAAATAGAAGCTGCTTCTAGATGTGGCATCTCAAGTATGGGATTCTCCTCCACCCTTAGATGCTGCAGAACATCACAACATCAGAAAAATTACAGTGCATGCATGATCACTGAAATGCCTGTGCATTCACAGAATCGATAGACTAATATTTTGTAATTCCTGAAGCATGGATTTCCTTTATTTGGCCTTCATTTCTTTTTGCCAAAAGAAAACATGGAATGACACCAAAAATGGAAAGAAGAAAAAAAAAATTTTGATAACAAAAATAAAATGTAACAATGTAGCTTAACTTTATTTCAATAACAAGTTACAAAATAATGCAACAGCTTGGAAAACAGTTTAGAGCACCTCTTCTCACAATTACTATTCTGAACTTAAGAGATGAATTGCTGAACCTTAGAAATATCTCCCCTCAGGAACATCCAATAACAACGAAACAATAAAAAGAAACTTAGAAATATACATGGACGAAAATGTAAGAATGAAAATTGCAAGGGTTTTTAGCAGAATTGCCTTTTAGTTAAATAACCCAAAAAAGCCTAATTCCAATCTAGCATTCAGCACTACAACCCATTATACTATTCTCCTACATTAAAGAATTCAAATTCCTTAATAATGTAAGTTTGCTAGAATTGCCAATAAGATTTAAATCAACCAATTACAAAGGTTTTCAGCTATCAATTCTTGCTAGTCCAGGATCTTTGTCACGTCAAATATGTTGTTTTGCTAGAACCCATGAAAACTAATAATGTATACAGTCAATATTTCAGGCACCAACTAAAATATTTCCTATGTAGTTCCACTCATCATTTTTCTAGTTGAACCTGCCAAGCACATAAGAAATTCACGTAATAGTCTAACTATGCAAAGTAATCAATACCCTTCTCTGCACCTTCACTACAAGGATGAAAAAACAGCACATCTACACTACTGCGTCTACAAAATACCCACAGGCAATGTTGTCGAATCGTGATACATATAGTGTATCATTATACCACTTTTACGTATCATGTATCGTATCGTATCGTATCGTGTATTGTAAGATACATTAACATATATAAATATAGATAAAAAAATAAGTATTTTCATATAATATATAAATATATTGCAAAAATAAGCTACTAAATCATATAATCAATTACCAAATTGGTCAATAAGATATATACAAATTCAATCAAATTAGATTCATGATAGTAGTTTACTTTCTTGTGGCAAAAGGAGTATGTTAATTTTTCTTGCGAGTTTATTTGAATTTGGGTCTCCTTTGTATGGGATTTTTTGATAATATAGTTCATGACTGTTCAATGAGTGTCGACTATGCGATGGAGTGTCAACTATGTGATTGATAGTGAAAAAAGTAGCTAATGGGGCCAAAGGTGAAGAAAAATGTAAGACTTAATTAATCATGTGATATGAGTTGAATCGCGATACGATATGGAATCACACGAAATGAGAACATATCTCACGATTCAAGTCACCAACAATACAAGTCCGCAATACGTATCTTTTTTCCATACGATATGTATAGTACAATACGTATTGCGTATCGTACAATTTTGATAACACTGCCCACAGGTACACTATTACCCTACAAATCACTCAATGTCTCAACTATGAATTCAGGGAGACACATGGGGCTAAAATTCAAAATTTTACATTTATTTGAAAAACAGTTGTGCATGCTGAATGTGAAATATGATATACATGACAGAGGTCTAATACACCACAATGCAGTGAAGCATTGGATTATATGACACTTTGTTAGAATTTCCCATCTTTACCTTCACCTACAGGAATTAAGAATAACTGATGACTTTAGAAAAGTAAACAAAGCCTAAACTACTATCATACTAACAACTTTTTTTATTAACAACACTCCACATATGGTACTGAATAAGGAAAATATATATTGTCAAACTGAATTTTACATGCACATATATGAAGCACGGATACAGATACAAGAGATGGATACAATATGAGACGAATACAGCAATGCGACAAAACCTAAAAAAGTAGGATACGGGTATAACTATGATACAATTGTAAAACAAAATTATAATTTTTAGTATTGTATTATACATAAGCTCAAAGAATGGTGATAAATCGTTTTATAGAAATTAGGAATTAGTTTAAGAGCCAGTAACTAGTTTCCTTCTTTTTTTTCCAATAGACCCTACAAAAAATTCATTTAAATATAAATTTGAAACTAATTATATTGCTACTGTGCTTGTCCTTTTCACACTTCAATGAAGTAAACAAAAAATATTGTGCGCAAGTTTCCATTCTTGTTTTATTATTGAAATATGATTTAGTATATTATATTATTAATTTATTCTTACTTTCTATAAAGTATGGACATGGATACTTGACACATGCACGTTAAGGACAAGTCAATTTGCTAAGTTCCAAAAGTTGGATAATACTATAATCTCATTATTTCTTCTTCTTTAAGTAAGAAAAGAATTAAAAGAATATTTTTGTATTTATCCTCACAATTATACAGTAGTTTATGCAAAAATTATTACAAACTCAATTTCATAATTCATGACTAGAGTATCGAAAAAGTAACCGATACTTTTCAAAATTAAAGAAAATTAATTTCAAGCATCGCATACGGTTAAGAAGTATTGCAATACATATCTGCAAGTATTCAAGGAGTATTTTCTATCTAATATGGATACTACTCCCTTTTAGAAGTAGTTCTGCTTCATCAGTGGCTCTATACGATTTTATTCTGTGAAGTGGAAAGGATGGAGGTGAGTAATATCAAAAGAATTCTAAGATGTTTTGAGATCTCATCAGGTCTGAAAATTAATTATCACAAGAGCGTCATCTGTGGCATTGGGGTGGATGATGGTCTGTTACAAGAGTTTACCTCTACTTTAAATTGTTTGCACCAAAAGCTGCCTTTTTTTTTTTGGATAAGTAAGTCATATTATAACCAAAAAAGAAAAATATACAATGAAGTTCAACACACAGCTTTTGATGGGAGCACAAAAATAAACAAAATAAACTACTCCATCAAAAAACAAACTGAGTTTATAGAAAACAAGCACAACATTCCCAACAAAACAAGGATTCCGAATTTCCTTCTAGCATTCTTCAAGTCATGAAGTTTCGCTTTAAGTTTTCTTCTGTTACCCTCTTTTGAAGTCTCCCCATAACTAGGATCACTTGGAGATGGACTCCCTCTATTTCTCAACTCTTGACTTGAATCTCCATTTCCTAACTCGTCCATATCACCAAGGACATCAAAGGCATTAGATGTTGAGGGGATAAAAGACTGCGTCTCTCTCTCTTTGTTGATCAATGGCGTTGAACCTTGCCCACCATCTCTCCCCTTTTTCTTCACCACTTCCCATTTAGTCGGAATTTATGTTTTAGTGTCCTTGACTCTCCACTCATGTTTGAAGGAGGGAGGGTTCAAAGACTTTGGCTTTTGAGGGCACAAATTAGTGGTATGGCCAAAAGTCTTACAACCATCACACCTTTGGGGCTTCCATGGAACCTCAACTTGAATCTCATATGGGTCACCATAACCAAGATTTATTTTGAAAGACTTAGGGATCTCTTTATTTGCTGGCACTTCAATACAAATTCTCACAAACGTAAGTCTGCTTCTCTTGAAAGTTGGCTCATCCAAATAAAGAGGAGTTCCCAAGATGCTAGCTATGTAACCCAAACCCTCTTCACTCCAAAGTTCCAAAGGAACATTGTACAACTTCACCCACAATGGCACACTTGAAAATTCACAATTTGTTTATTGTTGTGTCTACACTATCTACATTAGTATGATTGTTCAAATGAAGTGATAATAGATTAATCAATTAATTCATGAAATTGTGAAAACAGGCCATGACGAAGTTGTATCATGGGCACCTATTTTATACTTCAATTTTGACACCTTGTTAATCTCTTCTTTAATTAAAGAGCTCCCAACTTGTAGAGGTTTACCTGATATAGCAAGTGTATCCAGACCTTCACTACCATCTTCCATATGTAGATCAACCGAATCCTCATTTCGACAAGCTCGCACGGGCTTATCACTCTCTCGTTGCTTGGAACCCATTACTTCTTTCCTTTGATCAGCACTAAGTGAGCCAAATTTATTTGACAACATCATTTCGTTTGCCACCAATGGGGACACAGTGGTCAATTTTGGCCACTGCTCAACATCAGTTAGCACTCTAGTTGGTGTGTTCCATGCATTAGGTGTTTGATGCTGCTTTGGTGATTGCTCAGGTGAGGCTTGCATTTCCACAGTCCAGCGAAACTGTGTTGTACCAAGATCACAATCACACTCAATTGAGCTATCCTCCGAATCTACATCCCTCAATCCCCTCTTGTTTACATTTGAGGGCCCTTGCCACGGTCCCACAAAATCTCCAAGTGAAAGAGATTTAGGGGGCCTTGAATGCGTGTACACCGGCGGGGAAGTACATTAGGCATATCATCAGTAGATAGTTGATCCACCTGATTTACAAACTCCTTCAAAGATACCTTAGTCGAAGATTTGCTTTTTGATTTACTCTTGGCTAGTTTGCTCTTGGCTAGTTTGCCCTTCTTCAATGATAGCTTACTACCCTCTCTGTCCCTCTCATTGTCCTTCTCTTTCTCTTTCTCTTTCTCCTTAATCATCTTATGACAGCACAGTGACAAGGTTTCACTGGGGCATTTTGTCGAACAGGTAAAGGGCACTTCTGTGTTGTTCCTCTCTCTGTGATGCAAACAGGGGTATTTGGCCCAGCCACCGAGCAAAACCCAGCTGCAGTCTTCCACCCCACTGTGAATGGTGCCTAGACTGTGTGGTGGTCTCTCTAGAAAGAACTGGAATCAGCTACACATTTGAGATTACAGCTCGATATGCCTTCAACGATGTCGGATCAGAGTCGTCCCGACACTGCCGCCGACTATGGGGATAGGGTTTGAGCAGTGAAGAAGAAGAGAGAGAGTGAGAGAGAGATAGCCGGATTAGCTATCGATTCCTTAATCGGTAGATCTAAATTAGTTAACTTTTTGCAACATGAGCAAAGAATGACTTGATCCAAGTTAAGAATGCCAAAAGTGAGAGAAGGGGGCCAAAAAGAACATTAGGATGAGACTTTGTGAAACTTATAAAATTCTAGGAAATTAAAGCAAACAAAGACAGAATAAAAAGTAAACCCCAACTTTATAATTGTAAAGACCTTACCCTTAAACTAGTGTTATTAAAGGCAATAGGCGCACTGAAGCGCCAAGGTTTACTAGGGCCTAGGCGCAAGGCAAGGTGTGAGCTTCATCAAAGCGAGTCTCATGTTGACGATAAAAAATAGATAATTTAATACAAGTAAATAATTCAAGGTTCAACATAAGTAAAATGAAATATTAAATATTGTAAACATAACTACTAACAAACACCAATATTTTATGATAGACAAATAATTCAAGGTTCAAATAAACAAAAATATCTAACTCATAAATCATAAACATTTGAAAACAGCGATGAAGTCGAAGTGTCAAACAAGATAAGCACATAAAAGGAGAAAGAGAGGGAGGAGATGAAGAAGAAGAGGTGATGTAATACAATAGATAGGTTAAGTGTCTACTATAAATATGTGATGTAATGCTCATTATAGTTAGTTTTGGATTAAAAGAATATACATTAAGATTAGAGTAGAGCTTTGTTTCTCTCTCTAGCCCTTGGGAGTTTTACCCTAATTGGGCATTTGTCTTTCTCTTTTAATTTGATTCTTGATTTGCATTTGGATTGCATTATTTGGTATTAAAAGCCTAAGATTCGTTCAATCTTTGACCTAGAACACTGACCTGGTTCAAGCGATCGCAATCTGACCGTGTATCTAAGTCGAAGCCTACCTTCAAGTCCAAAGCCAGTTTTGAAGCTCTAATCTGACAATCTCAAAGCATTCAGGTCTTCATCAAAACTCTGGATCTCTATTCGTGGTTTCCTTTGTTGATCGACTTCGCAGCCCACAGTTTGAAGTCCACCAGTGAATACTAGTCATCTGATATATTCGACCTGAACTAGCGATCTGTTTCGCAGCCACATGCAAGTTGATCTTCCCTAGAACTGGATTGCGATTTTACTTGAAGTTGAACCCTAGCACTTCTGATTTGAAGTTGCACCAGATTTTGAGTCGCGGTTAGATTTCACTTCTGATTCGAAGTTGCGAAAACTGATTTCACTTGATTCAAAGTTGCAAAACTTGATTTCACTCCGCAACTGAGACTGATACCCAATGAGGCCCAAGATTCATCATCGCAATTTGAGTTTGTGATCTCAAACTCTGAGCTGTTTGTTGATTTGGGTTTTCCATGACTAAAGGTTGATTCAGAACATTATCTGGATTGTTTAAGCTTGCCTCTGAACCAGATTCTCTGACGGATTTCTGGATTTCCATTCGTGTTCGTCCCTGAATTTCGAACCTGGACCTCTCGGTATTGACCTTTAACTCATTCGACGTCGAATTGATTTCAATTTGTAAATTCTGAATTTCTTGATTTGGAGCAAGTTCTGAAATTCTTATACTGTGATTTGGGGAATCTATATCTGGGATTGGCATTTGATTGGGATGGTTTGCTTATGCTATGTTCTTCAATTGATTGAATTGTTCAACATTGGACTATTTGAATTGTTCCATTGTTATTCTTGAACTGTTGGTCGACATGGGTTTGTGATTCTTGATTGGACCTATCATTTTGGGTTTGTGATTCTTGATTGGACTTTTGAAATCTGAGTTTTGTTGTTGAACAATCACAATGGAGGTCTTACTCTGGGTACTTGAAGTGTGTGTTAACCTGCTGATTGACTTTGGACTGTGCTGCTATTGATCACGTGACTTGATTTTGATTGACTTTGACACTGGCTCTGTATATCGAAGTGTTGAAGCATTGATTGCTAATAGAGGTCAAGGCAACAAAGTAGGATAAATCATAAATGCTGCGAATTTGGGTTAGGAAATTGAGATAACTCTCTCAATTGGAAGGAGCTATGATGCTAATTCAAATCAAACTCATAATCAAAGTGGTGAGTTGAAGCAAATGAGTGGACGACTTGTCGACCTTGAAATTTTTGAAAGCTTCAAAGAAATTATTCTAAGTCTTATCGTTGGACTCTTTCATACCTCTTTATGAAGTTGTTTCGAGTTGAGTGGGTTGCTTCTTGTGTGCTCAATTCACATATGTGCCAAGGAAGGAAGGCAAAAATGCCTGCAATGCGGAATTCTAGTTCGCGATCAGCTACTCTCATGGTTTTGCCTAGTGGATGCATCGTCCATCCTATCGTTCTGTCAATTTTCTCAGCTTTGCTTTGGAAGATGTCATTTGCCAGCCATTGGTCTCATTCCGACAGAATGAGTACCCTTTTGCATGAGTATGCAGGTTAGAGGTGAAGGGGTTTCGAAATGGGGGTCTATCCAAGTTTTAGCAAGAGGGTTGTTGAGCCAAGGATGCAAGGATGAAGTTCAATGTATTTGCAAATGGCTAAGCTGAGAGAATCATACTTGCTCTTGATCAGGGAAATGTAGGCACCTATTCCTTACCTATGGTTACATGAATGGTGTTACATTGAGTTTAGTTAGCGGCTGCTTAAACTTGACGACAAATTTCTTTAAGAGGAAGAGTCTGATGTAATAGACAATATAGGTTAAGTGTCTACTAAGTGGCCTATTAGCTGTTGTCTACAAATAGGTGATGTAATACTCATTATAGTTAGTTTTGGATTAAAGCTTGGTTTCTCTCTCTAGCCCTTAGGGGTTTTACCCCTAATTGGGGCATTTGTCTTTTCTCTCTCAATTTGACACTTGATTAGCATTTGGATTGCATTATGAGGAATGACAACTCTTAGTTTCGTCAAAGAGAAAGCCCTATCCAGCCAATGTCTTTGTACAAGTAGGGCTCAAAAAGTGTTGGGTTGCATTGTATGTTTCAGGGTTTAATCCACTGTAGCCGTATGTAAACACACACACAAAAAATGAGATTAAGTGAAATCAAAGGTTATGATTATGATAAACAAACATTTTTAAAAAGGTGCGCAAGTCATGTGCCTTGAGCCTAAGCCTAAAGTGCACGCATCATGCACCTTTATGGCCCCTTGAGATGTTCCGAAGCGAATTAATTGCTCCTTGAGGGGGCTTGGGCCTAGGCATACACCTAGGCGCACCTTTAAAAACACTGCCTCAGACATTAGCAATAAGATACTTGACAGGTTACATTATACATAAAAGGTAGTGGTGCTTCTTATACACACTAGAAATATGACATTCCATTCAAAATTGGATGTTACTTTTCCATTCCTTTTTCTTTGGATAGGCAATTAAGAAGAAGGGTTCTTGTGCTCTCCAACAAATTTTAGGAAAAAACCTACCACAAACATTTAGTTACTAAAGGATAACGTCAGAAGCTCTTTCAATGATAATGAAGCACTACAATTAGATATGCAGAACCAACCTCAAGGGCTGGTAAGTGTGGGAAACCCTTCAAAGTTGATATTCTGTTTTTGCTTGCAGCTAATACCTGTACAAGAAAAGTAAGTGATTCATACAACAGTGGGAAGACAAGGCAATAATCAAATAACTAACAACAAACCTGCAATCGAGGCTGACTGGCCATTGAAAGAGACTTCAACTTATTTTGTGCAACAGAAAGAAACTGGAGGGAAAATGTTTTGAGATTATATTAGCTGTTGATAGAATATGGAAATCATGGTAAAATTCTGTGTCTTAAATAAAGATAAGCAAAATGAAAACAGGTCTAAATGTTCACCTCTAGATTAGGAAGCTCAGGAAGGCTTACAAGTGATGTAATTTGATTCCCAGCAAGATAGAGTTGCTACATGTACAATAAAATATTTCAGAACCTCGTTCCATGAGTACATTCCAACATTCATGACCTCATCAGATATGTATAAATGTGACAGACAGACCTGTAGAGCTTTGCAACTCTCAAGTGGTTCAAATCCAGGCCCTTTGAAATCATTAAAGCTCAAATCAAGAACCTGACAAGCAATAATAACAAATGCACAGTGCTTCAGTCTTCTTAGGAAAAGGAAAAAGAAAAGGTCAAACCACAAAACTAATCAACTTGTTTGGTTCTGGTTTTCAAAAAACAATTTTAAAAAAAATTTACTTTTTTATCTTCTGTATTTTAATGTTTTCAATGAATTTTTTTAATATTTTAAGCAATTTTTTTAATTTTTAGACAAACCTAACATAAATACACTTAAAAAGTATAATATTTGTGAAAAAAAATCTTCAAAAAATACACTACCAACAAAAAAAAAATGAAAATTTAATACATTTTTCGTATTTTTGTACATTTATTAATTTTTTAAAATATTTTTTCACAAATATTTTACTATTTAGATACATCTAAGTAAGGTACATCTAAAAAAGTAAAAAATTGCTTAAAATTTTAAAAATATTCACTAAAAACAAAAAAACTCAGGTTTCAAGAAACTGAATTCAGAAAACTGAAACCAAACATACTGAATATTTTGCGTCTCCAGATACATGATCTAGACACACGATGAACATCAATGCACCAAGCTTTGGTAAAAATTAAAATAAAATAAATAAATAAAAGGTTCCAACTACAATACTAATATAATTTGTACATCCAGATACACATGATGAACATGTCTAATCACGTTCCTCTAAAAACTCAGAAACATTGTTGAAGAAAGGTTCCACTTTGAAGAGAAGAGAAAAAAAAAAAAAGGAACAACAGGATAAAATAAGAATAAAACACTGGCATGTGTAAATGGAAAACAAACCTTCACCCTCTTCAATATTTCAACACCTTCCAGTGTAGATAAGAGATTGTCTCTGAGATAGACAAACTGCCACAAGGAGTTTCAGTTAGGGAGTTGGTTATAGTCATCCAAAGAACCTAAAAAATATTGGCAGCAAATGCTAGGGAGTTGGGAGCCTTCTGCTGCTCACATGCATCACACCTATTGCTGTTTGGCACTATGAAACAAAAATAAAAGAACTCCGAGAATAGATTTGCAAAATTATAGACGCACAAACTTCCAACATGTTCATCATAGATTAAGCAGTAGGGCCCCTCCCTATGTCAGTTTCACGATTAAAACGAAGTCATCAATAAATGAAATTAAGGTACCAACATCCCCAACTCTGAAGATTGCAGGAGGCAATATGACGAGCTCTAAATGAAAGCTAAATGTCAATCTTCCATTGTCAATTCTAGCCTCTAGGTTATCAATATTAGTGAATCCCATAGTTTAGCAAGATTTTCTTAATTTTTTATTCGGATGAATTTCAAATCACAAACCCAATGAGGCCAGGTAAAATTATTTAGATTTTGAAGAGACCAAAGTAAGATTACATGGATTTTGAGAGCCAAAATGATAATTTGTCATATATAAATATTCAAAATATATGGGAGCTAATGAGATTTTTATGAAGTTTAGACGGCCATATAATTTTTTATATATATTCAAAATGTTTGCCACTGCACAAACCCATAGAATTATGAGCTGTGTGTTGATATTGTGTTCAATGATCAATCAAAGCAGAAATAAATATCTCCTCCGAAACTACCAAAAGCATGAAATTAAAAACCTAAACGCATAACAGTACCCTAGAGTATCATTGCTATAAGTTAAACAACAACTAAGTTCTAAGTTGGCAAATCAAAACCTCATTTGTTATAAGTTTTTGGGCAAGGAACTCAAACACAATGGCAAGAATATATCTTAGTTATATACCTCACCATAAAAGAAACTAAAATACTTCTTTTCTTTTGTGAGCAACAAATAATTGTTTATAGCTTTGGCAATACAACAAGAACAACAAAGCAATTAATTGGCTTACCTCCAAATTAGGTGACAAGTTCAACCCACTAGAATTGAGACTTCGAATTCGGTGACCCCTAAGATCCAACCTCTAGTATGAAAATAACTGGTGATTAGTACAGAACAAAGGATCACCCAAGATGATAAAATCATAAAACACCTATAAAAATGGTTAACAAGTGAATCTATTCTATATTAAAAATTCAAATATATGCAATTATGACCATCGTAATACATGTCAGATCAGACATGGGTATTTGTTTCTTGTCGCCAAGTTATAGTCATGCAGCTAACTAGCATTACTTCTGTGCATTGCAGCTTATAAAAGCAATGTATTTAGTCAAGATTCTAAAGGTTAGTGGATGACAAACTCCCCCACTTAGTTGATGGCACATTTGGGTATCTGAATTGCACACGAAATGAATTTAGCAGTTCATAAGTTGGGGCCAAATTAATAAATTATCCAACATGGTAGCTGGTCACGTATTCCATTGTCCATGTGCTCTTGAAGGTTTGTTAACTACAGTGCTTACCACATCATCACCAGCTTTGATCTCGACCTGCGGAAGCATAATGAAACGAGAATCCCGACTCTCCAGTGTTCCCACTTTCCGGCGACCAGACAAACCAGAACTCCTGTCTACAGATGAAGTCGAAGAACGACCTTTTGATCCATTGGTAACTGAAGGTGTCCGAGGTGATAGAGAAGAGGTCTTCAAAACCACCTTTCTAGTTGTGCTGCTGGCAGTGCTGTCCAACGATGAAGAAGGCACCCTCTTTGAAGAGGAAGTTGAAGATGATGGTTTCATAGAAGACTTCTTTCCAGAATCTTGTTTATTTACATCAGTAGGCAATGTTCTCAAAGTTCGAGTAACAGGTGCAGAGGGAACAGACTTTGTAGTCTCCGAGATGCTCGACCGAGTCAACGATTTGGTAGCAACAGACGGCAATGAACTCCTTCGAACTTCTGGGAGAGACCGCCTAAGTGTTTCCGAGGCCAGGGGGCTAGTTTTTTTGCCTGCAACTGTATTAACACTAGTTTGCCGCTTAGTAACTGAGATTGGCTGCTTCTCGAGCAAACCTCCACCTCCAGTGCTGTTCCTTCTCATGGTCAATGAAACTGAATTCGAACTCCGTGAAGAGCTTGATTTGGCTGAGGCTGATTTAGCTACAGATGTTGTGCTCAAATCCAAAGTTTTATTCATTTCCATTCTCTTTCTGGTAGACCCCGTTGGCCCTGAGACCTTTGGCGTCACTGTGGCATTTAATTTTTCAGTTTTCGATGTTCCCCGCTCGCTCTCTGCAGATGATTGTTTCTTTAACTCTGAATTCTGGGTCTCGTCTGCTGGACCTTCACCAGATTGAACTAATAGGCCTTCCATTTTGGTTCAAAAATCCCAAATTCCAATTATTTAACAAGAAACAGTCTGATTCAAGCAAAACCAAACTGCAATTGACAAAGAACCGTGTAAATTTGCATCAGTTGTGTTTGGTTTCCAAGAAAATGTTGCGGAAAAGAATAATGTCTAATTTTTGTACTTAGGCAGTCCAAAAAACTTGGGTCCAAGATATCAAAAATAAACAAATAAAAACCCCCCACCCAACTGAGCCTGATTCAACAATCTTGGCTTGGTTAAACAACCCAAACTCTCAACTGAATTCAAAAACATGGGTTATAACTTGGGCTATTAGTTTCATTTTATGGAACCAAAAAACAAAATTTCTTTTCTTTTAATCAGTTTTAGAGTTCCCAAAAACAAAAGCCAGCCAAAAAAAGTATAATAAGCTCTAAAAATAAAATAAATAAAACAAAAAAGTAACTAATTAGAGAACAGTAACAACTTTACTTGAATCTAGCACCAAAATGCAGCTTCTTTAGCTTAAATTCAAACCCCTCCGTCGATCGAGCCAAGAAAAAAAAAATACCAGATCGAAACAAATTTGGAAGAAAAATAGAAAAAAAAAAAAAAGAGGAAAAAAAAAAAAAAAAAAAAAAAAAGAGAGAGAATGTGGGTCGTTCTTACCTGCAATGCCATCTAGATCTGGAGAAGAACAGAGAAACCTACAAGGACTGGGACTGTTCAACAACAACAACCCAATAATAATAATTTTTCTCTACGATTTCTACATACTAGTCGGCGGAGACTACTACTAGTATAATACATGTTGAAAAAAGACAAGTTTTCGCGGCGTGACACGAAAAAGTAAAAAGTAGAAAGTTGTGTGTGAGAATCAGCTGAAATTATGTGAGAGAGAGAGAGTGGGACATCTGTAATGAGGAAGCAGTGATAAAGAAGCTTGAGAGGGACAGATGGATAGAAATATTATTCTTGTTGGATGCCAATGAGGCACGGTGGTGTTCACTGGACTGTAGTGAGCTTAGCTAAGTGTGTATTTATTTGGAAAATGCTAGGATAGGAAATTTCATCTTTAATGACAGTGAAATGATGTGGGTTGCCAATTAATTTTTTTTTAAATATTTTTTTTTTTAATTAAATTTTTTTCAATTATTTTTTTTAATTAATTTTTTTTCAATTATAATATGTGTGATCCTATTGTCATAAATAATAAATATAAATATAAATATTTTAAGCTTGAACAAACATATTTTTTAGTTTATATTTTTTAATTTTTTTAAGCATTTTGTTCAAACCAAACGCGTTTGTAATTTATATTTTTCTAAAAATAAACAAAAATCAGTTTATAAAATTTTTGTAAACATAAACCAAAAATATAAACGTTCCCAAACACTACCTTAGTGTTTAGGGAGAAATTTTTTTTTTTTATTTTAAGGTTTAGGGTTTAATTCTTAAAATTTATTTATTTTTAAACATTATTTATTTATTTTTATTTATTTTTATTTATTTAATCCTTAAAATTTATTTATTTTTATTTTGATGTGAGTGTGTGTGTGAGTGATGTGTGTGTGTGTGTGAGAGAGAGAGAGAGAGTATTTGTGAGTGCATGATAGTTTGTTATTGAAAGCGTGGTTTCTGACCACTCTTTCTTTACAACACAACTTTCTTTAAAAGCACGGTTAGAAATTACATTTTTTGAGAAAAAAAATTCTTTAAAAGCGTGGTTAAAAATTACGTTTTTTGAAAAATATATATATATTTAAAAGCGTGGTTAGAAACAACGCTTTCTTAATTAAAAACGTGATTTGTAACCATACTTTTACGATTTTACAAATTTTCTGCGATTGGGTTACAAAAACGGTGAAAGCGTGGTTTTTAATCACATTTTAGCTTATTTTGGAAAATCCGTTAAAACTAAGCCTAGTTTGGGAAATAGCTTGGTATTTTAGCTTAATTAGGGAAAAGCCCCCATCTGCTGATTTCTGCTAGAGGCGTTGCCTTGGACCAGCGGAAAAGTAGAGAGGATTTTTCTTTAAAAAAAAATTAAAAAATTGATGTGAGTGTTTAGAAAGTTATTATTAGTTGTTATTTTATTAGATTAAAATTTTTATATTTTGAAGATGATTTGATTTTTTTGTAATTGGATGTGATATTTTTTAGAGAAAAAGTAAGATAACTATGAGTTTGATATGACATTTCGCCTTATTAGTTTTTTTTTTTTTTGTGAATTTTAGTCAAAAAATAGCCCAAAACCTACTTGCCAAACAGGCAATATATCTCAAATTTTAATTTGTCATATAAGTCTATTTAGAAATTCGATTAAAAGTTAATTTTTAAATTTTTATTTTGTTTTTAATCAAATTCACCCTTCTACTTTTTTTATACTTTTTAAAAAAAAAAATCAAAAATAGTCACAAAAAAAAATCAACTTTTAATTTATTTTCCAAAATAAGTAATATTTAATTATGTGAGGCTCTACTCTTTTATCTCATTATTAGAGGTGCAATTAGGAGTGATAAAATGGGAATGTAACAAAACTCTATATTTAAAGAGTGCTACTATTAATACCTCATCAATTATTTTTGGATATTCCATTTCTTTGGACCCCACTTATAAATTATAAAACCTTTAAAATTTCTTTTCTCCCCTTAAATAATACTAAAATTATCCTTGTAAACATAGTCTACCCATTCAAATGCACATCCCTATATCCCAAAAAGCCTCTCTCTCAAAATTCTAACAAAACCTACAACGGTGGAATCTCTCAAAATTAGTGAAAAAAATTTATAGTGATTAAGAAGTTTTTTCTCTACTTCAGTTTGTCAATTTATTTAATTTTTTTTCTATTACCTCTTTTCACACACAACACAATCTACTTCCATGTTTCTTTAATTGGTTTTCTACCATTCATCCATGGTTCCAATATACTTATATGCTCTCTGTGTGAGCAAAACTATGCAGGATTTCACCCTCTGGTCGACCACCCAATGGTGGTCCAATCTCCATTGTTTGCTTGCTTCTACTACTACTTCGGTTATCTGTTCTCGAACAATAAGAAATGTTCAATTACCTGTTCTTGAACAAATAAAAAATATTCGGACTTGTGTTCCTAAATTTCCGTCATAGGTTCGAGAGTTCAATTCAAAAAAATGATGAACAGTTTTTATTAGTTTTATCATTTTTTTTAATAAACTTATCCTTACAAAGTCAATCTCCTCTTAGTTAAGAATGCCATCAAAGCCACAAACCTCCTATGAGTTTTTATTATTGTACTCCTATTGTCTAATGAAGTTGCGGCAGTCGGAAAAACTTCCACTCATTGTCATTGCTGGAGAAGTGCATGTAATCAAATAGTTGCCACAGTTGTCATTGGAATATTACCGCCAAATGATTTTCAAGGTTTTGAGAGTAAATACATTTTGAAGGTAGGATTTAGGAAAGATAGATTGGTGGCGATGGAGGTGAGTACTCTCATAAACCCTAACTCGTGATGTAGTGAATGTCTGGGCTTAATTGTGAGAATGAGTGTCCCAAAATTATTGATGTCCTTGTTAGTAATTTCATTTGAGGTTATTATTATAATAAATAAATAAAAAAAACTAAAAAATTGGGGGTTTAAAATAATTGATGGAGTGCTAATAACAGCACTCTATTTAAATATAGTAAAAAAATTTAAAAACAATTATTTTAAAAGAATCTTAAGGTTTGAGCTTTATAACAAAATTAATTTTTAATTTTATCAAATTAAAACTTATATTTTTTAATTTTTTTCAATCTAAACTATTTATCTATTTTCGTTAAAAGTAAAATCAATGAAAAATGAGTATTTTAGTCATTAAACTCAATGAAAAGGGTATTGCAGACACTTTACTAATTAAAAAAAAAAATTCCCGTCGATTTTACTTAACGAAAATAGGCAAATGATTTAAATTAAAAACAAATCAAAATATTAGGGTTTAAATTGACAAAATTCAAAATTTATTTTATTACTAGGCTAAAACGTTGGGACTTTTTTGTACAGTCCCCCTACATCCCCTAATTGAGGCCCCTCATGTGACACCTTAAAAATTAATTTGTGGGCCAAGGGTAAAAAATATATATATACACGGTAGTTTATCACCATCCTAATATATAGGATGATGACTAAGTAATGTAGCCAAGGTGAATCACCAGCCTAAGCCATATAACCTTGATGAATAATCCAAGTAGATAGTCACATGGGGGAAGGGGGAAATGGCACCTGCTAGACAGGTGGCCAATTTTAAGCAAGCCACACGTAATGGTTAATTAGAACCCATGTAATCACCACTTATAAATAGTGAGCAACTGAGCGAGCTTAAAAAATATAGGAAATATACAAATAAATAAGGAGCAGTGTACTAGTAGCGAGGAGTTTATAGTAGGAAAGTAAAGGTTAAGGATCGATATTAAAGTGAGATATATTATACCTTGTGTAGCACTTGTATCATTTAAAGCTTTTAGGAAGTGTGTTTGAATCCTTCATTTTATTTTGAGAATCTTTGGTGTTGTTGTATCTTAGTTTTAGAGGAGTTCAAATCGATTTAAATTTATTGGAATTGTTCGTTCACGCTTGTTTACATTGAAAAGTTGTTTGGGAACTTAGAAATCTTGTTCTGGGGTTGACACCAATCTTGGTGGTGTCGACACTTGCCTTTTGTTGCTGGCCTTAAGAGTCGACACTGGTCTAGAAAAAATTAACCCTTGATTATTACTGAATCTAGAATTGGCTACTGAAATTTAGGGTTGACACCGGGGGTTTCAAGGGTCAACCCTTGCCTGCTGCATACATTAGTGTCTCAGTTTTTTTTCTTGAAGGGTCGACCCCTGTGCGTAATTTTCAAATTTTTTGGCTCAATTTGGGCCCCACCTTTTTGGGGTTTTTGACTTGTTCTTTTCATTTGACTTTGGAGCTATTTGTTCTATTAGTGACTAGCCACTATAAATAGGCTCCAAACACTTGTTCATATCACTTTTCCTCCTCTTTTCTCTCTCTACATCATGAGTTTCTCTTCTCTTTCTCTCTAAACTCAAATTTTTTCACTTAGATCTTTAAATCGACTCACCTAGAGTGATATTTTCACCTTGATCCTTTGAGAAAGATTGTAGATCTTGCCAATGGCTTTCTTTTGGTCCAAATAGTTCATGGTTTCGTCGCCAGTGATTTTTGGGTTGTTTTCTCTTCGCTTCAAAAGGCAGGGATTCCTAATTCTCCTTCAATACTCTCATTTATAGATAGATTTGTAGTATTTTCCTTATACAAATACAAAATTTACATTTTAATCATATTATGAAAAATCATGAGGTTGGGGGTTTAGGGTTTGAAGTGTTGGGGTTTACTTGTTGGTTATGATTTTGGGTTACGAATTTGGGTATGTAAGCAATAGAAGAGTTGGAATAAAAAGTTTTTTGTGAAAAACTTTAGTTTCTCTTAAAAACTCTAGTTTGGTTCATGAAGATGGATGATGGTCTTGCTTAAATTGAAAATAGTATTATGAAATTGAGGTGTTAAATTGCACATATACAAGTTTAATTGACTTTTAGAAGTGGTTGGAAATTTATGTAAAAGTTGCGATTGAACTCTTATTATTGATCTTTTAAATTATGTTATAATATGAAACTAAATTTGGGTAAATGAATTGTTAATGGTATGGATCATATGAGATTTGTGATAAAATGATGAAATGAATATTTAAGAGTTTTATTATATTATGTTGAATTGCATTGAGTTATATTAAACTGTGTTAAGTCTAGGTTGGGCTAAGACGAGTGGGAGTAATGAAAAATAGAAGATTGTGAAATATGACGGTATTATATGAAAGAGTTGTATCAAAGAAATTAATGTTGGAGATTTAATTTAT